CGGGACGTGTGATAAGGAAAGATCTTCCCTACTTGATGGCACTTTGAGCCCTTGATAAACTCATAACTCAAGGAACCTTTGCGTCATGCCCCGGGTATAAGCCCCCTATGTGGCTCAGTCTTGTATGTGCACCCGCTTCAGGCATCTTGCACGGAGTGTGATTGAGAATATCATACAATCTTTTATGGAAAAATTACATGTTTTTTCATGACAAGCATCCACTAAACTTAGATTGTTGAACTCATAAGCAGCAGATCATAGGTCAATTGAGTAATGTCCTGGGCAAGGGATAGACTCTGTTTTCCTCACTCCTCTCTCCCTCTGAAATTAAGAATCACACACTACATTTTGCAACTTGTGCAAGTTTTCTGGATCACAAATTGCATCTTTTTGCTTAAAATGACCTCTGACCCTCCCTTGCTCCTTTGCACTTACGTACCTCACTGCCCATGGGAATTCATTCCCCTCCACCTCCAGCAACTCCTTGTCAAATTTAAGGTACACAAGTATTTACATTTTCATTCTGGTTGTATATACATAAGGATCATATCTTACCGCCTCCCAGTTAGCTCAGTTGGTCAGAGCACCGGATTGTGTAGTGCGGTAGGTCTAGGGTTCGAGCCCCGGCCGGACTGATACTCATGGTCTTAAAATAAGTGAGGAGAATTTGCTACCTTTCTATGATCAAGAAATGGATAGATATTCTAGTCTTCTTGGATAAGGATGAATAAACCATAGGCCCCATCTCCTGCAGGGTTAGGCGTACAAGACATTAATTTCCCACGCCCGAGACTACTGTGTAGTGGATGTCCTCCCATGGGTTGGGATGGGTGGGAATTGGCCCTGAAAAACCCCCATGGGGAGTGGTCAACTAATGCATTTATGTATATATGTATGTATGTACATGCCTTCAGTTGTTACTATGCACAATTGCTATTTTGTTGTTGAAAATTTTGCAGATATGTTGGGATTAATGCCTCAGATATAAACCAGTCTGCTGGTCGATATAACCCAGGGGTACCCCCACCATTTGATGGTGGACTAGAGGTAACTGTATTTTAACTTTGTTTAAACACAAACTCAAACTTCTAAATTATACCTGAAATAACTAATAAACACATTTGCGAGTTGTCTAATGAACTATGAATACTAAATGTATCACAATCAGCAATTCCTATTAAGTATTTCAACATATTGTCAATCCTTCTACAGCCTGATCATGTATTTATTTGCTATTAAAACAGATACATCAGTCTGTTACTTTTATAGACTAAGCTGATCATGTGCTCTCTGTGTGCAAGATAAGCAAGAACATGTTGGAAATTGTCAGTGAGAGGGGGGAGGGGAGGGCAGGGTATTGGAGATTATCTGTGTAGCAGTGAAACTAAAATGACCCTCTCCTGTATAAGTAAAAGCTGAACCATATTAAATGAAAATTGACCTGTAAATGATCTCCTTGTTGGAGCAACAGGTAAAAATAATTTACTAGGTAATAGAAAACCTCTGGTTCCTTTCATAAGTTCAATATCTCGTCACCAACAACATCTTTTTCTGATCAGAATGACTGAGCCTCTTCAGATATCATGATCACCCCTGTTCCTCTCTCCTCCTCTTCTCCCTCTTTTGCTCATTTCTGAGTAGTCCCTGATTCAATTTTCTTTCTCAAGGGTATTGGAGAAGTTGTGTTAGCTGGTGAGAAATGTGAAAACTTTCAGAAAGGTCAGGCAGTTGGATATCTCCAGTTTGGAACCTTCTCGGAATATATGGTAGACAAGTATATTTAATTATTTTAGTTATCAGTCATAATTTCCAAGTTCCTTTTAGACTACTTGTTATTCAGACAAGGATGACACTATTTGAATGCATATATTGTTTCTATAAATATTTTAGACATAGTTAATATAAAAACATGAATTAAAATCTTACATGTTATTTTTGTGGCATGACTAACCTCTCAAGAGTGAATTGGAACTTTATGATTTGACTTCTTATGTTTTATGAAAGAAAAAAGCAGGAAAAGGCTGACAGAATTAATGATATCTGATTTAAATTTCTCATTAGCAGTGGCACTTGTAAGTAGAATTTGACTAATAGTTTTTACTTGTTCTGTATGACATCCATGGAACCTCTCGGCAAATAATTTACCAGGTGGCCTCAAAAGTCTGGATAAGAAGTTGCATGTTTCTGAGTTAAAACCTGGTTTGCTGAAAGAACAGGCTACTAACCCAATAAGATTACAATGAATGATTCTTACATGATTTTGGTTTTTTTGTAGACCATATCCTCAAAACAAGCATTTCCACTTCCAAGAGTGGATCCTGTGTATGTCTCATTAATCATCAGTGGCCTGACTGCTGGCATTGCTCTTGACAAGGTGCTCAGTTATTTTTTTTTTTTTTTATTATTTCATTTAACATAAACATGTTTTTTCTTACTTTACTAGTACAATAATAATATTGAAGTGATTATCAGACCAACATTATTTCTTCCCTTGTTTATGACTTTTGGGGCAACCTAGTGGCCTTGTGACGAGTGAGTTAGACTACAGATGCAGGTCGAGAGCCTGCATGAGTTTGAGACCTGGCTAAGTCATTGTGGTGTGTTCTTGAGCAAGGCACCCTACTCTCCCAGTGCCACCCTTGACCCAGGAGTGTGAATGGGTACATCCAAAATGAAGGGGGCATTAGGGTATATTAGATACAAAGGTGACCAGTGAGCATACAGAGGTTTTGCAACTATTCAAAATAAGTGGCGGTGTATAATTGCCGCCCAGATCGAAGAGAGACAAAAGAAACCAGAATCTGAGTAACAAAAACTGAAAACCACATTGGTTGCCAAATCCGAAAACCTGCCAGTATTTTTGACCAAAACTTAAAACCAAATGCAGAAAAATGAAAAATTTGCAAACCCCAATGAACACGAAAACCTCAAACAGTAGTATTTCAGTTCTGTGAAAAACTGAAAAAAAAAACAATCTAAAAATAGCCAAAAGCATAAAACGGAAAACCCCAATCCCCCCCTCAAACTCTCAGGATGGGGTTGACTAGCAATTCTCCTTGTGATCTCACGGAACAGAGAGAAGGATAAACTGTGATTGGATGGGCCACTAATGGGTCAAAAACAGACTTGACCATTTATACCTTTGTGAACTGAGGGGTCAGGATCTGGCAGTTACAAAATTTATTTTTGGATGAGACTGGACAATTTAATAATTCTAGGTTTATTACTGACAATAGGTTGGTGAAATTAAAAGGAATGAAACAGTTTTGGTGACAGGTAAGTCTACTTTATTACCAAGTTTGTTTTGAAAACTAGAGTTTCATAATTTATATATTAACTTAACTGCCAGTAAGTCCTAATCTGAACAAAGGAAAATATCACAATTACTGATATTATAATAAACAATAAGAACTTTTGATGAGTGAGCTCTTATTTCTTGATATTCTTTATTTTCTTGAACCAATCACTGAGCATTGTTAAAACAAAACCGACACAATCTTGGATATCTATGGACACTTCATTGTAAAGTGCTCTGACTAATTGCTCATTCTATTGTTTTCTCCCAGCGGCTGCTGGAGGAACTGGTCAGTTTGCGGTATGTTGTATTAAGTTTGTATAAAAGCTAGAAGTTGAGAGTTTTTAGACATTGGGCCCTCTTTAGATTTTTGTTGTGTAGGTTGTTTTATTTTGCTACAGCAATGATATTTGTGTAGACTGGTGGATGTCAAAGTACACCAGTAGTTATGAAGTTGCCTCTTTCTTCCACTCACTAAGGGTTTGGGAAAACACGATGGGCTACATACGTAATCCTTTCCTCTTGAATGAAAACTTGAAATTGAGGAACTTAAAGAATTATGGACATTTAAGGTTGGGTTGAAGTTGGAATGAGCTCTGCAAGTGCAACGTTTCGTTTTTGTTACACAAAGGCTTTTGATGTGTCAATTGTTACAGGTTCAACTTGCAAAGTTGGCAGGATGTCACGTGATTGGCACATGCTCGACAGATGCGAAAGGAGAATTTTTAAAGGTTGGTAGGCCAAACCCTTTATACCTAATATCAGTATACATATTCTCTATACTGTTCTTCATGCATTTCTTAAGGTGCTGACAAGGAGAATTTGTTTAACAATCAAGAGCTCTTTCAGTTGGTGATCATTTTCTTTGTTCCCATGACAGTAGAACAATGTGTTTAAGGGGTGTTATTGTAAGGAGAAATCAGCTGTTACTGAACCTAAATCTAAATGTCTAATATGCAAAGGGCACTACAGCCCATCTCAGCAGATATACCCACCCATCCCATCCCAGTGGAGGACATCCAACAGTCAGTAATCTCGTGCGTGGGAAATTAACTTCTTCTACCCCTAACCTTGCAGGAGACGGGACCTACGGTTTATTCGTCCTTATCCGAGAAGACTAGAATATCTATCCATTTCTTGATATTATAGAAAGGTAGCATATTCTCCTCAGTTATTTTAAGACCCTGAGTGTTGGTCCAGCCGGGGCTTGAACCCTCGACCTCCCGCACAACAGTCCAGTGCTCTACCAATTTAGCTACTGTCATTAACTTAGGGGCTAAACAGTTTTAAATACAGTTTATTGTTTCAGCTCAGCAAATATTAATGATGAGAATGACTTTATTAACGTGTCTCTGCTTCAAAAGTGAGAATGGAGCCGTCTATAGTTGTTGTGTGTGACTCATCATAGTTCCTACGATTTTTTTCTCAATCTTCGCGTAATGCAGTCTCTTGGGTGGGATCGACCGGTAAATTACAAGAGAGAGGTATTAGATGAAGTCTTAAAGAAGGAATTTCCGGTAAGAGTAGATAAGTGAACTTTGCTTTGGTGCAGGGGTGAAGAGTCAGGTTAATTGTTACCGAGTGTCAGTTGAAAATGGCCTTAACAAAAGCATTTTCCCAACTGCCTCAACCCTTTTCTTGTCGTTGTTGTCGTAGAGGGTATGGGATGGAATCTTCGCTTTTTTTAAACAGGTAGCCATCAAGAGAACTTCCCGGAATATCTTCTTTGGTTAGTAAATGGGAACCATACAAGGCATTTGCCATATTTTCTCTTATCGTGAGGGGTTGTTTTGTCCAATTGTAAAACATTTCAGTTTTGGCCCTCTTGACCTCGTTTTCGTGCAACTCGCCTCAGTTTTTACCGATTGGGGGCCATTTTGAAATAAGATGTATAATGACATGAGAGTCTTTGAGAATGGCTCTGCCTACAACTTTCGCCGGATAGCTTTTTATTTGTGCGAGTGCTGACAGAGAAAGTTCTGGATCAAATTAACGATGTATGATGTATTCTTTTATTTATTTCCAAGAATGGTGTGGATGTTGTGTACGAATCCATTGGAGGAGAAATGTTTGACACATGTGTAAACAGGTGAGAACTGAGATAAATTGAAAGAAGACTGAAATTACGTTTAAGTAATTTGGAAGTTTGATTAAAAGAGGGCTCTTTCAAGTGAGGTAAAATACACAGAAATACTGAACTTTATGCAATCTGCTTTTCTGAACTTTATGCATCTGCTGATGCAGTCCACCGGCCAAAGTCCCCCGAAAAGTGTTGTGATGCGCATTTGATCATATCCACATGTTAATTTGCGCAATATAATTATTAAATTATTGTTATTGATTATTAATCTGTGGTAAATTTTTATCGGACCGGCACACGTTAACCCGTTCGCCCCTACAAACGTCAGCTTTTACTTGGATTTGTATGAGATTGTGCGCGCGAGTGCTGCACGGTTCAAATGACGACATTTCGTAAGGACGGAACCTCAGGTAATTTTTCTTCTCCTCTTCAGGCTGGCTACAAAGGGTCGCTTAATAACGATTGGCTTCATCACAGGGTACCAGTCCAAGTTGGGATTCACCCCGGTCAAAAATGCAACTTTGATTCCCAAGGTATCGTGCAATAATGTATTCCTCTTAGAGACACATTTATATATATATCTTATTAACCAAGCGCGAGGGCCGTACTGGGAGAATATCGGTCCGAGGTCTTGACAGTACGGACCGAGTGCAGCGAGGTCCGTACCAAAAAGACCGAGGGCCGATATTCTTCCAGTACGGTCCCGAGCAAGCTTCGTTAAGAAGAGATTTATTATACGACTGTAAGTTCAAAGGTACACAAGTGCCGTATCATTCGGGACAGTGCCCGGTCCAATACTGAGAGAATATTGACCGGCAATAGAGCATTTTGATCGGTTGATTTTAGTTATTGGCCCTCTGACTGCCTGAGTCGTGTAATAAAGAAACTTATAGCGGGGGATGGAATCAGTAAAAAATGTCAGACAGAATTTTGTTCACTTTCAAATTTCTGTGTTGGGCGCCAGCAAGCATCCCTGGTGTTAATTTTCAAAACGGGATCACAACAGACAGCCCAAGATCGATATATCTGTAAATCTGTATTAGATTATTAGCGCGCAACAATAAAAATATAACATTTCTCTTTGTCCCCGTGTGATTGTTTTTAGCTGATTTGTAAGGATGTAAGTTTGGTTGAATTCCTCTGTTTTTCTCATACATATCATATAAAACCTTATGGAGGAAAAACAAACTCATGACCGAAGCGGGATAGGCTGTATATTTATTTTCTTTTTCCCCTGATATTAAAGAGATTTAGCAACACGTTCACGTGAACGGTGAACGGCAAGAGTGACCACGTGACCTTGTTTTTTGCCGCCATTTTTTTTACGTTTGCCGGTTGCGCTTTGCCGTTTCTATGTGAAAGTGACCTGTTTCTCGTTTGCCGTGTACGTAAGATTTTCTCCACTTTTTCTTGCACAGAGTAGAAGTTAATTGCCGGAAAAAGAGCATCAAAACTATTCCTTGTAAGTCGTACAAGAGCGCCCTCAAATCCACCGTGACATGAGCTCACGCGAAGCTAAAGCAGCGAGGTTCACGCTATTGTACATGAAACGTGAAAGGGCAAGCTGGCGTTTGCCGTTTAACTTAAACGCGGTGCTAGATCTCAGTTATATGGTTTTTAAATTCATGTTTCACAGAAGCCCTTGGTATCTTTACGGCTCAATGATAACAACACAATACGAATGTTACTGGTATATCAAGCTTTGAGTTCCTGTGATTGGAGATGCATTAATTCCTTGTAACTTTAAATGTTGTCTTGTCTCTTGTATTTTCAGCTTTTATCCAAATCAGCAAGAGTTCGTGGTTTCTTGTTATTTCACTATGCTGAAGAGTTTAAATCAACTCTGGCTAAGCTTGTGGATTTGTACGACGGTGGGAAGCTTAAATGTCACATCGACGTTGGACACTCATCACCAACAGGAGTCTTCAAAGGTCTGGATTCAATATCGGATGCGGTCGAGGTAGGGATTAAAAAAGACACTCTGAAAATCGGACATTTCACTTTTTTAATTAGGGATTGGTCATTGTTTGTCGCAAAGGGTGGGGTAATGGTTTATTCAAAGAGGGAAGAGCATTTTTTTGTGGAATTTTCCCCATCACTTTCGCGTGACGGGTACCTTTCAGTTTTTTTAAGGAATGTGAATTAATCTTGGCTTTTAGTGCAATATTGAGCACCCTGGACTTTTGATGAGCTCTGCGCAGTCCTAAGGTCCTACACAGACACTTTATGCTCAAACACCACGTAACTACCACAGTGATAATTAGGTACGGGACGTTAACCTAATGACATGGATGCTTTAGTAACGCATGATCCAACTTTGCTTTCTCGCCAGTATTTGCATAGCGGGAAAAGTTCTGGCAAAGTTGTGGTGGAGATACCAGATGACCCAAAAAGCCTTCTATGAAGAAAAACAATGGCTTAAGCAAGACATTTATTAAGCCGCGGTAAATGGCAAAAATAAACTATGATTTTTCCGAGTTTTCGTATAATCTTCAAATCAACACTGCACTAGACGAAATAAGCCAAAATCTTTTCTTTTTACCGTTAGGCAAGTATAAGAATGCGCTTTGCCGTTTGTACGTCAACGTGGGCTATAATTGATTTTGAATAAAAACAAACTTACCTCGCTCTACACGTTGCTCCTGTGTATGGGATGAGTTTTCAGTAAACGAAATCAGAAAAATGTGGAACAAAAAGCTGTTTGATGGGCAGTCTCAGTTCAATTAAAATCACGGAAGAAAACTTCCTTAGATATTTGAAATAAACTGGAAGCTGTGTCTCTATTTTTGCACTTGATCGTGGAAACTCTCATCTTCAATATTTTAGCAATTTGGAGCTGGTGCAGGGCATTTTTCGCTCTCAATCGCACAATCATCGTACGCGGCTTTTTCCAAAAAAACCCTCTCTTGCTCTCTCAACCAGTGATACTTTTAAGGTTATCGATTTCCACAGTTTGACCTGAGTCACCTGAGTACGCTATTTTTGGGATCAACTCCCCTCCCCTCCCTCTCCCACAAATCCTTGGTAATCACATGGCAACATCTCTTGCTGGAGAATTGAATATGGTTTCCTTCTTTGCATAAAAATCCATTCTCTTTCGTTTTCTCCCTGTTCTGGCCGCCGGCATTTTTCTTTTCTCTTTTCCTCGTTTCATTTCTCTTTTCCTCGCCTGCATACGATCAACTTTGAGAGAAAAATGTAAAATAAAATTCATGCAAATGATTATGAGAAAAAAGCAACCACAAACTCCTTGATTCAAAGCGACACAAATTCGCATCAACCGTGTTTCCGAGGTTTTCATTTTGAGGCTGAATTTCCACGTGAAAATGTTTCGATGAACTTATTTGCATTTTACGCTACCTCGTGGTAAGACTGAGCTGTCTTTACTTCACAGGAAAGAATGAACGGGAGAGAAATCGGCTATTGAATCAAATCTTCCGTTCAAACAAGGGCAGAAGCATCGAGGAGACTGCTTTTACTTGGAAACTCTACCTGGACCAACAGTCTTCCCTTTTCAATACAGAACACACGGTAAGATAGGGGAGAATTGAGCTGATTAACTTGTTCAGTACAACGTGCTTTTCGTGTTGGGTGACTGTAGGTTGATACTGAGTTGTACTTTTGCGAACTTTTGCTCGCGACAAGCAATTTTACGCTCCTATCTTCCATTGATAGCGATGCAAGATACCTGAAAACATATTGAAGGAAAACTTTATCAATGAATTGAAACAGTCCTCCGAACTCGAGTGGTGGCTTGGTAGAAACGTCGTCGCTCGGCGGTAAATTCAAACCAAACTTTGTAAATGAGATTTAAGATGTTCACTGAATTGACGTTGAAGATATCGTCAATAAATAAGGTTTGCAGGAAGAAAACATGTTAATTGCTTTTATGCACTATCCTAACCCAACATTCAATAACCTGATCAAGTTTTTTAATAGTTCGAGGCAATTTCATATATTTCAGAAAATAACGGTGTTGTTTCTTTCCCTCATAGATGAGGTGACATGGATAAGATATCGTAAATCAAGCATATGGGANCTTCAAATTTGTTTAATCGGCCAGGAGCCTAAATACGGGATGTAATCTTGTTTCATGAAATCATTCTAGAAGCCAACATCAAGGGAATAGCCCATTTGCGAATTACCCTTGGCCTCATTTTCAAAACGAGTCCTCGTGGTAATCCTTTCATATGATAATAAGTTTCCATTCACATGCAAATTAAGGCCCGAGCAAACGGCTTCAACATTTGCTTCAACATCCATTCGATTTTGTTCAACGCTGTTGAAAGGTTGTTGAATGATGTTGAACGGTGGGATGAGCAAACGGTTTCAACATTTCATTCAACAAACTTAGCGAGTGGCCTGGTAATTAGTTTCAGGCCCAGCTCTTTGCACGCCTGAGACACATACAAGGGCACCATTTTGAAATGAAACAACTGATCGCACATATGTTTACAACAAAGTTCGCTCGTTATTAGCGGTTTTTGTAGCTTTCGAAGTTTTGAATGATGAGGATAAAAAAACCCGGAAGGGAAAAGACAAGGCAACTGATCAGAAGAAGGGTTAAAAGGGGCTATTTCAACAACATCGTGAAAGAAATTTGCGGCTCATCCTCGGTGTAAAAACCTGTGAAGCTCACGAGTGACGTAAAACAAAGAAAACAAAACATTATAAACAATAGCGTACAGCAAAACAATACCTCATGAAACAAAGAAAACCTCGTCAGGTTTTTACACCGAGGATGACCCAAGAGCGGAGCTCCCAAGTTCGTAATATTAATTATAACATAAAAGATGTGCATTTGCCAAGAGTCGCCTGAGACACCCCTCCCTTCGTTTTGATAGTCTCCCCTACCCTACCCGTGCAATCTGAAGGCACGTACGTACGCTCGGTCAGTCACGTGACAACCAAACGAAAAGAGGTTGACCATATAGGTGGTTTGCAACCAATCTCTAGAGACACAGGTAACAATGGTGAAAGGAACAAATGCTGGTGGACTAACAAGAGAAGCTAATGAGATATCTTATATCGTAAAACTAAGATTAAGCTATATTCCCAAAGGCAATGTAATGCGTTCGCATGATGAAGTATAGGGCTGTGCAGAAATCTTACTTTGCCTTTTAAGACATGCACAACACCTTCTTGAAAAAGAAGTCGAGTTACGTAATGCATTTGCTTGTGTCAACAAGAAAAATATAAATATAACCGATGTGCAAACAACATCTTAGACGACCCCTGGGGATAAAGCTATGTCGCCAACAAAGAATGATTGGAATGTACATAAACTTGACTCTACACTTCGCAAATAAAGTTGTATATCCTTAGCGTGTTACCCTTCAACTGAAAACTGCGGAATACTCTTATTTTCTTTTCCTAGCCAAGGAAGAACGTTTAATAGAAAGTGAGCAAAAGTTTTAAAATTATTCGAGGAAGTTGCAGAGCACTAAGCATGTAAACCATTCGTCCTTAATTGTTTCACAATTTCGAGTATTTGTAATTAAGTCTAAGGCTATTTGGCTCCGCATTACTAGGCATTTTTCCAATTTTCATAATGCGCCTGCCTTGCTTCAGTGAGCCTTGCAATTCAAGATCTCCATCAAATGAATTTTCATGGCGAGAAAAAATTGGTAACCAACAGAAGGTGAAAATTTAGTGTTTTACTGAAAAAATTATCAGCTCGACTGCAAATGACATTTACATCATACATACATGTATGTGTCTAAAGCTTTGTTTTAGAGTAATATGGGGTTAAACGGAAATCTTTCCCGACTGCATTACATTAGGATTGACATTGAATTTTCTGTGCAAGTGTAGATACTTTTCATTACCACAATATCTCTCAAATATGAAGAGGTTCTCGGAAACTGGGGGATTTCTGTCGATGCGCTACTGAGCTCGAAAAGCTAGGTCTTAATCAATATGGACCAATTCCTTCGCAGTATAAAGTATGTGTTGATCTCAAATTATTGCTGAAAATTTCACGAATTGTGATCAACCAAAACGCAGTAGAGTTTAAAATTTAGACAAAACGTTTTTCCTATGAGAACGTTCACTTGTTGTGATTATCAACCCTAGACAATAACTTCAGAGAGCTAGACGCGGAGCGAAATAAGTATATTTACACCGCTTAACCACTTTCATCACTTTGTTCGCTTTATTCAAGTTTCATTTTGTCAAAATAATTTTTGTTTTGCGTTATATTGCAGTCCTTTGATATCCTTGTGACATGCCTTGTTGATGAGAACCACAAGCCTGGAGAGGAAAGAAAGGATCGAATTGAAGAACATATAAAAGAAGACTGAAGAAAACGTAACTTTAGTACTTGGAAAAAGACAGACAATTGGAAACCGTGTCAGAGATAACGACTGTAGCCTAAACCTAGCAACTACGTTTCCTGGAAACGACTAATTGCTTTGAAAAAACATAGAATTCTTTTTTGAAAACAAAAAACGGAGCTCTCAAAGTTAAGTAAGTTTTGATTGTCTGTTGACAAGTAACATTTCTGTTTTAATTTAGGTTCGGACCATTTGTGGAGGTGCACCAAAGGTAATGGAAATAATATATGGCAGGGTAAAAACACTCGGGAGTTCTCTTCCAAATTTTGAAAATCTAAGGAAGTTAAGTTGTTAGGAGGAACGCTTTCAGTGACTGCTAAACAAGAGAATGCTTATTTTAAAAAAAAATATTGGACATACTTTCGCAAAACAAAAATTTCATACGATCTATGTCCAATATCAGTGTGAGCTTTCTGAAAGGACAATAACAATGATTGCTTTAAAAGCGTATCTTTGGAAAACATTTAATTTTGATTATATTGATTATTACGCCAATCGCAGTGATTCCCTTTTTTTTTAAATTCGAACACATTGAAATTGTTTTGGTTTGTTTTACGTACAGTCACTGGAAATGCGTTCTATAACAGCAATCATAGATCGCTAGTTTTAACTTTTGGAACGGAAGATCTATTTTCAAATTAATTTCTGTAAAATTATAATAGTCATCAATTCACTACGCTATTGTCACACTTAGGTAATTGTTGAACAGTAAAATTTGCTTTTGCCTTTTTTGTTGGAGTGTTCCAACACAGAACTGTTTACAATGCCGTTAGGTCATAGCAGTTATCTTAGTTAAACTTTAGTTATTTTTGCCATTTGACTTTTTAAATTTTATTCACTTACACTCTTGAGTTAGACTTAAATGTGATGATCTCATGTAAACCTTACGTTTCTATTCACTAGAAAAGAATTGTATCAAGTAAATAGAGACAAACAAATAAACTTCATTTCCAATATATTGTCTTTTATTTAAAAGTGTACAAATAAAAAAAAGTTGCGCTTTTAAAAGGGCCTGGTAAGTAGTCAAAATATAGGCTATCTCTTTTACTTTTTTTTGCGTATGGAGGGTTGCCGAGAGGAAAAAAAAATTCTGCAGATTTGAACAGCATCTAGCATTAAAACAAAAGATATACCCGACTTTTGATGGGAGAAAATCGTTTGCATGGAGCAAGATTTTTCCCGCCAATAAACTTAGTTTTTTTTTCTCTGAACTTCTGGTTTCAATGTGGTTGGCCCTTTTAAAAGCGCAAACTTGTAATGCAGAATTTCCACGCAAACACCCCTCGCTTGGGCACGA